CGTATCAGTTGTAGATGATCTGAATTTGTATCAAAATAAAGATTTGACGCACGTGATATCAGTAGCAACAATTTCGTGTTCACTTATAATCAGCAATTTTTCGTCTTGTTATGAATTCAAAAAAGCATGTTTTGGTCTACTTGCTTTTGTACTGTGAGTTTTACTTGCTACACTTGCTTAATTTTGATGCAAAAGCTCGTTACTACCTGCAGTACCTTTTCATAATTACACAACTTAACAAAGAGACTCGGTACAAGGACAGTTTATACAAAACACAGAAGAATTACTACTCGACTGATTGTAACAGATATCGGGCATCCTGTTTCTCTTCGCGAAATGTTCGAAGAAAACCAACCCAGCTCTAACACGCTCTGTCCTTTTTCATGAACTACGACTCTAATACACAATTCTCGACTATATCGGAGGAACTACCAGGATGAAGCAAATCCATAAAAGCTGATCTGACATAGCCTTATCATCTTTTTAACATCTGTATAGTTCTGAAAGAGGAGTTACAGCTTCTTGGTTAATATCTCCAAAAAGTTACTGCCAGGTCAAGCACAAAAAATATGGATGTTTGTTTCATAAAACAATATTTACATACACATATTTAGCTTATGCTCTACGAAAAATTTTTTTAAAACAAGCCTTCGAAACAAGAGCTTTTGAAAACCGTTCCCAGTCTGTTTTTACACTTAATGGGACAACCTGGTACAACTGGACTCCCAAAAATTAGGGTCGCCGAATTCGAGAATTATATGCGCAGTGTTGCAAAATACCTGAATCTGCGTCCTTTGAAATATAGAATAATGCAGAAGAAGTCCTCTAGACTAACATAGACTAACATAATTCGAGATTCTCTAAGCCAGATATGCGTAGGAATGCTCAAAGAACTTGGGAATGTTTGTATGCTTCGTACATTGCATTTATATCTACTTCCAACCCTGCAGTTAACGAGTTTTCTGAATCTGTGGGAAAGAGTTTTCAGGCCCTTCAGCTTTGTTTCCCACTCACTAATATTTAAGTTACTTTTCCAACAAACTAATTGTTAAAGGGGGGAGGAAGTTGCAGTCAATTACTATGAAACAGAGCAACAACATCATCATCATGTTTGCTTTCAACAAATACTTAACGCTCTTTCAAGTAGGCTGCCATAGATTTTGAGGAACAATTACATCCAGAGGAAGTTTTTCTTAATGAATCCTCAAGGAAAGAGAGACGTTTTTTTGATCTTTTATAAAAAAGACTACTGTCAACTTTGAGTGCTTTAAGTGTTAGTACATAAAGTGTAAAAGTTACTTGCTGTTAAACATCTAGTCCAAAATTGGTTGTACATTTACAGCTGCACGGATTACGTATAGGACCATTAAACTTCATCTTTACAGCGAACATAAAATCGAATTCTTCGAGATTTTCCAAACCTTCTTATCCTCTTTGTACTTGTAAGCAACTACAAATTTTAATATTCCGTGTCATTGCTCGCTTACTTAGTTTGCATATGAAACATATAAAAAAGAGCTAGAGAAGTTTTTCAAGGTACTCCTAGTCTTTGTACGGTATATAAAAGCATTACAAACGAGAATTTAAAATTTAAAATTATTGTGCGCACCATAATGGGATGTGCAGCTTCAACTATGGGTATTTTGTAACACAAAAACTCGATTTAAGGATAAAGGTGAACAGAAGCAGTAAATTACTAACTTCCTTCATTTGAAATAATTGTCAAGAAAGATGATGTAATCATCATTTTTGGGCAATAGACCTCCCAAGAAAGTTTGAAAGAAGAATTCCTTTGAAAGTCAAATTGTGTAGTATAGTAGCATGAAATCGGAATTTGCGGAACTGATTTGAAAATTCTCTTTGCTGAAGACTAAGTTTTTCTATTAATAGCTAAAGCAATTTAGCCTCCGTCCAAATAAAGTGGTAAGAACTATTAAATACGTGTGTTCGAGACATATAAACTACTTTATCCCTCTTTAGTTTTCGTCAAATTGCAGCTGCGCACACCTAATAGCAGATGTCACAAATGCATTCAAATTTAAGACCCATAAAATTTGGGAAAGATTTATTGGGAAAGAGT